TTGCCCCTCCAAGGGCGTATGCTCACTGCCGGGAAGGTCTTATGGGTTGTCAGCACCAAGGACTGTTGGGCAGCAAGTGTGGACTTTGCCAGGCACTGTGCGGGCACCGGGGCTGTGGAGACCGCAGAGAAGCAATCCTTACCCTCCAAGAGCTTCTCTTCTATTGGGAGAGACAGAGGCAAGATCAGCCCAGGCTCTGGCACCGAGGGTGGACAGCACAGTGCACGTCGCGCCAGCCCCACCAGAACTGGGAGCAGGCGGAGAAGAGGCTGGGGAAAGGGAGCTGGGCTTCCAGGAGCCCCAAGGTGCTGCCTCCCCCAGCCATCACCATCTCCCAGTGATACTGTGTGGCTGGCATCCTTAGCCTCAGGAAGGAGCATCCTGAAGGGATGTGGAAATCTGTATGAGGGAGAGTCTGGTGGAGGCTGCAGCCCAGAGGGCTCATGGATAGGAGAGCTGCCAAATGCATCTGTTGTCCAAGTCACAGGCATATAGACCAGAAAAGAAGGGTGACTGGTGGCCAGACACGGCGCTGTCCTGTTTCCCGTGGGACTCCAGGAAGAGAATCTGCAGAGCAGAGATCCTGGGTGGACAGTTCATAGAGAGCCAGGGGCCAAAATCCCCAGAGAGCTGACACATAGTCTGTGTCTGTGTGGGTGCCGAAGACTGGACCTGGGCGTCCCTGATCCACTGAAGAATGAACTCAGGGTTCTCGGGAGGTACGAAAATGCAGAAGCAGCCAACCCTATAAGGAAAGGGGTCCAACTTCCTGTGGGACCCCAGGTAGGGCCCTTCGTGCCCTGAGCCTCTGTCTTCTCCTCTATGAGAGGAGAGGTGGACAGGAGCCCCTGCACCTCCTTCCAGGCCTAGCTCTGGACCCTGACTCTTGGCCTCCTCTTCAGCTAAGATCCCCCTAACTGGGCAGGGAGCACCGCACTCCCAGCATGTGGAGATGAGGTGATGGCGCCCTTGGGAACAGGAAGGAAAGAAGAAGAAAAAACTCAGTGAATGAGCACCTTGGTTTGTGGGAAACCTTGAGAGGAACAGATGGGAGAGCTGGGAGAATGTGGGAGATTTCTGACGAGACATGAGAAATGAGGAAGGCTGAGATGCTTAGGCCTGTTTGGGGAAAAATCAGAGAATGTCAGGGCTGGGAGAGGCCTGAGAACAGGGGATGTCAGGGCTGGAGGGTGGGCCATCTCTGACCTGGTCTGGTCTAATCCACAACCTGAACAGGAATCCCTCTATTATATCCCCTGAGCATCTGTCCCAGACCCCTGCTTGGCACCTGACCAGCCTGAAGCTTTTGCTCCCCATGAGGACGGTGGAACAGGAGGTGTCTGTGTGGTGGGGTCTCTTGCTTTATGACTGTGCCCCACCGGCGATGCCAAGTCCCCTGCTCTGTCCCAGTGGACCCTCCCCCTCTCAGTCTGTCGTAGGTCTGAGTCTCTGAGGGGTCTACAGGAGAAAAAGGCCCCTGGGCAGGTCTGCAGGGTCCTTTGTCCCCATTTTTGTTTGGGGGCCCCTTGATCCCCTCACCTTCTGTCCCAGAGATCGATCCGCTGGCACTTAGGAGGAAGGGCCTCTGGGTGCTAGTCACTGGGCTAGGCTCTGCGGCCCTGGGGCCCCAGGGTGTGCATCCCCTTCTCCCAGGGCCCAGGAGGCTGCCCTTCCCGGAGTGGGAAACGCAGCCAGTGCCCCTGTAACCGAGGACGTGGAGTCAACACCAAGAGGTGCGACTTTACAAAGCAGCTCCTGACCAGGCCCTTTGGGAGGGAGTGGCAGCATTGAAGGGGCTTCCTGCCCGACGCTGCCAAGGAGGGGCTGGGCAGGGAGGAGGGATGGCAGGAATGAGCCCCGGGTGGGGGGTTGGCTTGTAGAGGCTGGGAGAGGCGCCGCTGTTTATGCAGAGACGGGAGGTGGGGAAGGAAGCCTGGAGCCTCCCAGCCTCCCTTTGAGGATCAGTGAGGCTGCCCATTCTGCTCTGGCCAGAGAGTTTTCTGCCTGACTGCCTCTGCAGTGTCCATCCCTTGTTTTGAGACCAGCCCTCTGGGGCCAAGCAGAATAAATCTAACCTCTCTTCCAAGTGACAGCCCTTCAAGTTAGATGGAGACAACGGTCTGGCCTCCCCTCATGAGCCATGGTCTTCTCCAGGCTCCACAGCCCCAGATCCTTAAAAGATGCCCCTTTTAAGGTAGCCTGAGAGGGGCGGAGCCAAGATGGCGGCGTGAAAGGAGTGACTTGCTTGAGCTCTCCCCCAAACCCCTCCAAATACCCATAAAAAAATGGCTCTAGACAAATTCTAAAGCAGCAGAACCCACAAAAAGACAGAGTAAAACAAATTTCCAGCCCAAGACAGCCTGGATGGTTGATTGGAAAGGAATATTGCTCCAGGCTGGGAGTGGAGCACAGCACAGCTCGCAGGCCGCAGCGAACCTAGAGCAGGCCTCAGAGGACTGAATCACGGGCAGCTGTGGCGGCTTCCAGACTCCTCAATCCACAAACGACAAAGACAACTTAGGGAGGTCAGTGGGAAAAGTCTGTTTTTGTGGTGAGAGAAGAGCTAGGTCAGAGCCAATTCCAGAGTGCACAGTGCGGGTGCCAGGGCGGTGGCTGCGTCCTGAGCTTCTGGCCCACAGATTGAGGGGGAATCGAGTGGCTGATCAGAGGGGGACTGCAGGGATCTCTCTGCTGGTGCCGAGGCAGAAATCTCTTGCTTTGCCCGTGCTTGGATCTGGGTCACAGTTCTGGGTGGCGGTCCTGGGGTGAGGAGGAGCGCTGGCGCGGTGGAGCTTGTAGTGGCAGTGGTGAGGAAACCCTCTTCACGGTTCCAAGAGAGAAAAGACTGCTTGTGGCCGGTCACTCAAAGACCAGAGCTCAGGCCAGGAAAAGAGTAAATACCTCGACCCTTTTCATAGCACCTTGGAAGAACTGAAAAATTTACAGGTCCCTAGAAGTATCTCTGAAAACTGCTATACAAACCCCTGAAGCTTGGGACAGTACATTCTCCACGTTGGAAGCAGACTCTTACCTTAACAAAGAGTTTAAAAGTCAAGTAGTTGGCTGGGATCATGAGCAAACCTCACAAAAAGAGTCAGAGTATATTATCTTACTTTGGTGACAAAGAAGATCAAAACATACAACCAGAAGAAGACAACAATGTCAAAGCTCCTACATCCAAAGCCTCCAAGAAAACTATGAATCCATTCCAGGCTTTGGAAGAGCTCAAAAGGGATTTTGAGAAGCAAGTAAGAGAAGTAGAGGAAAATCTGGGAAGAGAAATGAAAGTGATGCAAGAAAATCATGAAAAACAAGTCAACAGCTTGCTAAAGGAGACCCAAAAGAATACTGAAGAAAATAACACCTTAAAAAATAGCCTAATCCAAATGGCAAAAGAGGTCCAAAAAGCCAACGAGGAGAAAAATGCCCTAAAAAGGAAAATTGGCGAAATGGAAAAGGAAGTCCAAAAGATTACTGAAGAAAATACTTCCTTAAAAATTAGAATAGAGCAATCAGAAGATAGTGACTTTATGAGAAATCATGACACAGTAGAACAAATCCAAAAGAATGAAAAATTAGAAAACAATGTGAAATATCTCATTGGAAAAACAACTGACCTGGAAAATAGATCCAGGAGAGACACAATTTTAAAAATATTGGACTATCTGAAAGCCATGATCAAAAAAAGAGCCTAGACATCATCTTTCAAGAAATTATCAAGGAAAACTGCCCTGATATAGTAGAAGCAGAGGGCAAAATAGAAATTGAAAGAATCTACCGCTCTCCCCCTGAAAGAGATCCCCACAGGAAAACTCCTAGGAATACTGTAGCCAAATTCCAGAGTTCCTGGGTCAAGGAGAAAATATTGCAAGCAGCCAGCAAGGTAGCCTGAGATCATATTTGCTTTTTTTTGGCTGTTTTATGTTGCTGCTGAGTCATTGAACTTGTAGTCAGTCCACTGAGACCTCTAGATCTTTTTTCACATGAACTCTTACCCATGCATGCTCACAAGGGATGAGGCCAGTCTGTTCACCATCCCCTCTGTGCCTCAGTTTCCTCATCTGTAAAATGCTCCTTCCCTCATAAAGCTCTTGTGAGGCTGTCGTGAGCTCATGTATGGCAGTGGGGAGCTTCGCCAAAGGGAGGGTCATTTTCTATCCCAGAATACCCGACTGGGGTTGGTGAACAAGTAGCAGATTCAGAAAAATACATGTTTTCTTGGCTCTGACCCAGTTGGACCGGATTCACTAGGGTTTTCTTTGTCCTTCCTGTTTGCATCAGTCCTTGGGGTGTGGGTCAGTTGGGAAAGGTAACGGCTGTGGTGCAGGCCCCTCTGGTTCCTGATTGGGGGGTGGGCTTAGCTCTGCCCTTCCCACTCAGAGCTCCACCCCCCCCCAGCTGGTAATCTGGGAAGCTCACTCACCTGGCCTGGTGGGGGAAGGGATTCTGAACCCCAGCCCTTGGGAGCCACCTTCAGAAGTGCTGGGGGCTTTCATGGAAAGGTCTTCCTTCCCCTCTTTCCTTTTCTTTCCCTGAGCCTCCTCCTGCCTGTGCCTCGCTTCCTGTCCTCAGTCTCTTGCCTTTCTCTGCCCCCACATCCTGCGTGCCCCTAACCCGCCTCCACGCTCCCCCTACAGCAAACTCCCAGAGTGGAAACTCTTGGCAGGGAATTTGCAGCCTCAGAGAGTCACCTGGAGAGTTCACTGACTTGCCCAAGGCCATACAGCCAGGATGCAAGTGTGACTGGAACCCACACCTTCCTGACACCAAAGCCTGGGCCTGTCAGAGAATCCTACGGGGGACCTCCTGTGTCGTCGTAGGGTGCCGTGATTCTAGTCACCCCTTTGGTTTTAGAGGTGGTGACCCCGGCCCAGAGTGGGGCAGGGCTTTCCCCGGGGCCCCCAGAGTTCCCGGATGTGCTGTCTTTCTGCCGTCCTGTCTTTCCCCTGGCTCAGCACGTCGCAGCTCCTCCTCACCGGCCTCTCCGGCTTCCTCCCCAGGGTGCTTCAAAGATGACCGCATTGTCTTCTGGACCCGCATGTTTTCCACGTGCTTCATGGAGAAGTGGGCCCCGAGGCAGGATGACATGCTGTTCTATGTGCGCCGGAAGCTCTCCTATATGGGGAGCAGCGACAGCCCCAGCGACGATGGGAAGAAGGTGAGTGGCCGTGCAGGGCCCTTCCCTGGGCGTCAGGGCTGCTCCCAGGCGGCCTCTCGTCCACTGCCGCCGTGTCCCAGCCGCGTCAAGCAGAAGCCCGCCAGTGTAAGAGCTGGAAGGGACCTCGGACAGGGGACTGCCTTCCACAGAGGGGGAAACTGAGGCCCAGAGAGGGGGAAAGTCACTCCGCCAGCTAGGATATTTCCTGATTGTGGCTGAGGGAGGCCTTGTCTCTGCCCGACTCTGCTGCTTCTTATCAATGCCTCCAATCTGCATCTGAAATGGAGCGTGGCCTCTGTCCTCAAACTGGACCCTTCTTTGGATGGCCTGGGGGGGGGCACCCCAGGTCTGCTCTTCCCGCTCTCCCTTCAGGACTCCGTGCCCAGCCAGCTGCCAGGCCTTGCTGGTCCTTTCTCCCCTGTGTCTTTGTAGCCTCAGTCTCTTCCCAGTGGCCTCCCTGCCTCTCCTCCCCCTGGCTTCGTACCCCCAGCAGCCCATGGGACTGTCCTGAGCCCAGGACCTGCCCATGACTCCCTCACTCCATGTTGCCTCCTCCTTTCTCAGTTGCCCCTGCTGCAGGCAGCTGCCCTCATGAAATCACTACGTAGAGACTTAGCCGAATATAAGTAGAATGGAAGCCTCCTGAGGGCAGGACTGTCTTCTTTTTTCTGGCATGTAGCATGAACCTAATGGATGCTTGGTGCTTTGAATTAAAGAGTCAGATACAGGATTTGAACCCAAGACCTCTGATCCCTCAAATAAAAGCTGGATCTCCAAAATGAAAACAAAACCCTGGTAGAGAGCAATGTCCTCTCCTCCCATGCAGCCCTCTCTGGGTTCTGCTTATGGCCACTCTGGGCCTCAGCGTCTTCATCTATAAAATGAGGATCACAGAATGTTAGAGCCATTAGAGGCCATGTGGTCCTTCCCTGAGAAAAACTGAGGCCCAGAGAAGGGGAGCACCTGGCCTGAGGCCCCTTAGCTCATACCGCCATCTTCACTCATAGCTTTGCCTCTTCTGACCTGGGGGACCCCGGGCAGGGCAGGTCTCCTGCTGAGGCCTCAGTTTCCCTTCTTGCAAAATGAGATTGGACTCACTCTCCAAAGTCTCTTCCAGCTCCCCTGTCCATAAACAATGAGAGTCATTTATTAAGCCCTCCTTCAGGCTCAGTGCTGGGTATACAAGAAGAGGTCAAAGTCAGTACCTGCCCTCAGGGTGCTGTCAGGCTAACAGAGCTCCAGGCTGCAATTCTGTGGCTCTCTCCCCTTTGCAGATTTGGCCCTGCTGGGGCTTCCTTCTGTCCCCAGAGCATCCTGGGATCTGGGAGGATGCAGTCCTTGGGCCACTGAGTGAATGTCCCTAGAGCCCCTCCTTCCTTCCTCCATTCCTCTCTCCCTTCTCTCCTTCCCTCCTTCCTTCCTTCCTTCCTCTCTCCCTTCTCTCCTTCCCTCCTTTCCTCCCTTCCTTCCATGAGCATTGCTGCGGCCCCTCCTGGGTGTTCCAGTTCTGTGCTAGGGGCTGAGGTTACAAAGGCAGCTGGTGAGGGACCAGGGTGGCCGGTGCTGATCCCTGCTGGCTGCTGGGCTACTACATGGCAATGAGGGGCTGGTGCTGGGGGGCAGGGGATGGAATATTCAGGACTGAGGACAAGATCAAGGACCTAAACTCTCTTTTAAAAAAACCATACTGAACATTTTGTCTGAAACATTGCCTTCGTTTGAATATTTCTTCCCCCCCACCCCCAATGCCTTCTAATGAAGAATAAAGAAACAAAATGGAGAGAAAAGAACAGTTCAGAAAAAAGAGCCCCTGGCCACTGCACGCAGCGTTGCACTCCCAGAGCCCCCCACCCTGCTAAGGAGAGAGGACAGGGGCCTTTCCTGTGGGGCCCAGCTTGGACGTTATAATTAGCCGTATGACCACTCCCTTTTAATAGGGTTGCCTGGCTAGTCCCTTGGCAGACTGACATCCTGGCCTGACTAGCCAGGTGACCTTGGCCATGCCCGTGGATCATGGGGCCTCCTGGGCCACCCTCAGTTTTATAGGCATTTGGGGTGCCTGCCTAGCAGGAGTCCCTGGCTGTGGTCTCTCTACCCTCCTGCTTCCTTTTCTCCAGCTCAGACTGGGTCCCCACTGTTGGGGGGGCTTGGGGTTCCCCAAAGGGCTCATTAATCGAGGAGCATCTATTGAGTGCCTCCAGTGTGCCTGGCACTGTGCCCAGAGCTGGCGGGGTAGACATAGGGAGGCAGAGTTGGGAGACTCATGTTAGCAGGGCACATGGCGTGTGTTGTGTGTGTGTGTGTGTGTGCGTGTGTGTGTGTGTGTGTGTGTGCGTGGCCGAGCCCAGGGGCTTTCCATGGTGTCGGGGAGCTCCCTCCCTCCAGGGAACCTTTTGGGAACATCTCGATTTGGGTTGAGCTGACAGGGTGGAGGCTGACTGTTGGGGGAGGTTGGCTGGGAAGTATAGATGGGGCTCTTGGGGTAGGAGGGAGATGGGCTCGGGGGGCTCACGGATCTCCGGCTCCTACCCAGCAGGTAGATGTGGAGGTTTACCGGCGGGACTCCAAGAAGCTGCCTGGCCTCGGGGACCCTGACATTGACTGGGAGGAGAGTGTCTGCCTGAACCTCATCCTACAGAAGGTTTGAGCGTGTGTGTGTCTGTGTGTGTGCATGTGTGTACACACGTGTACCCTCATGCCTGTGGGGCACTGAGCAGCTCTCATGGGGGGCTGGGGTACTCAGGCCCCCCGGGAGGCTGCTTCATATGGAAGTCAGCCGCCATGAATGTGACCATGCCCGGGGGCAGAGCACATCAGGGTGGGCTCCCTGGAGGAGGGATAGGGAGGATCCCCTGTGCCAGAGCAGCCAGGGCAGGCCTCGAGGCCAGAGATGCCGCAGCCTCAGGGGCAGCCACCTCCCCGGGGAGCCCATAAGGGCCCTGCCCCCCCTAACCTCCCGCCCACCCACTCTGGACTCTTCCAGCTTGACTACATGGTGACATGCGCTGTCTGCACACGCTCGGACGGAGGCGACATTCACATCCACAAGAAGAAATCCCAGGTGAGGTCACTGCCTAGGAGCCCCTGTGGCTCGAGGGTCATCCCAGGGGAGCGTGGGGCTGTTTCCAGGGAGTGCCGACCTCAGATAGTCCAAACCCATCGATACTGAAAAAGCCATTTGTTCGGCTTTCAGAGACTTTTCTTCCCTCTCTGGGAAGCAGGATCCCTGTATCGTCCCTGAAATGGGATACCTCTAGGACCCTGCCTGGCCTGGCCGGGGGGCCTCTCTGCCCCTCCTCTTCCCCCTCCCCATTTTCTTCCTCCTCCTGTTCCTCCCTCCTCCCTCTCTCCCTCCTCTTTCTCCTCCCTCTCTTCTTCCTCCCCCTTCTCTTCCCCCTCTTCTTCCCCCTCCCCATTTTCTTCCTCCTCCTGTTCCTCCCTCCTCCCTCTCTCCCTCCTCTTTCTCCTCCCTCTCTTCTTCCTCCCCTTCTCCTCCCCTCTTCTTCCTCCTGCCCTTCTCTTCCCCTCTTTTTCCCCCTCCCCATTTTCTTCCTCCTCCTGTTCCTCCCTCCTCCCTCTCTCCCTCCTCTTTCTCCTCCCTCTCTTCTTCCTCCCCCTTCTCCTCCCCTCTTCTTCCTCCTGCCCTTCTCTTCCCCCTCTTCTTCCCCCTCCTCTTTCTTCTTCCTCTCTTACTCCTGCCCTCCCCTTCCCCCTCCCCATTCTCTTCCTCCTCCTCTTCCCCCTCCCCATTCTCTTCCTCCTCCTCTTCCTCCTCCCCATTCTCTCCCCTTCCTGTTCCTCTCCCATCCCCCACACAGATACTTCCTGTGCGTGTGCCCCACCCCCCCATTTGCCACCATTTTCCTGTTGTTTAGCCTCTGGCCTCCCTGCCCTCTAGGGGGGCCCAGACCAGGTGGGCTCTGGGGGCCTCCCCACTCACTCACCAGGTTGCAAACCTCTTCCAGCAAGTGTTTGCGTCTCCCAGCAAGCATCCGATGGACAGCAAGGGTGAGGAGTCCAAGATCAGCTACCCCAACATCTTCTTCATGATTGACAACTTTGAGGAGGTGAGTGGCCTGCTGGGGAGACTGAGGCAGGGCTCCTTGGCCCCGCTGTGAACATGACTCAAACTTGGCCTTCCTTGGTGCTGTGCATACAGCTGGCGCTCAGTAAATGCATAGGCTAGGAGGGACGGCTTGGGAGCCACATGGATAACAGAGCTGGTGTTGGCGGGAGAACTCTGGCTCTCTCTCCCCCTCTGCGAGCCTGGGTTTCCTCCTCGGTACAAAAAGGGGCTCCCTGCTGGCTCTGGGACCCATTTCCCTGTCACGGTCCTAGGCCTGTCAGACCTTAGGCAGGTCTCAGTGCCAGTGGGGGCGTATGCGTGGGCCCAGGCATGTCACAGTTTGGGTGGCCATCATGAGGGGCGAGTGTCCCCTCCTCAAGGCCCGGAACCTGAGACCCTGACAGCTGCAGGGCGACCTCCCCCCAGGCCCTGAGTGATGGGGCCCCAGTGGGGGCTGGGCTCTGCCCCCCACTGCCCCACTGCCCCCCAGGTCTTCTGTGACATGGCTGTGGGCGAAGGCGAGATGGTCTGTGTGGAGCTGGTGGCCAGTGACAAGGCCAACACCTTCCAGGGCGTCATCTTCCAAGGCTCCATCCGGTACGAGGCGCTCAAGAAAGTCTACGACAACCGGGTGAGACCTTCAAGCTGGACTGTGGCTCCCGGGTAACAGGGCAGGGACTGAGGCTAGGAGATGAGTGGCCAGACCCAGAAGGGCTGGACAGCCCGGCCAGAGAAGCTGCTCCCAGCTCTGACATCCCCTGTTCTCAGGCCCCTCCCAGCCCTGACATCCCCTGTTCTCAGGCCCCTCCCAGCCCTGACATCCCCTGTTCTCAGGCCCCCTCCTACCTCTGACCTTCCCTTTTACAGATAGGAGTTTTACTTGTATAATTTGTAGTGGAATTAAATGTCTTCTCTCAAGAGGTGGTTGGGCTCTTTAGGATGGCCTCGTCCATGCCTGGAGGTCTCTCTGATTGACAGCTGTTGTGTCCTACCTGGCAGGTGAGCGTGGCAGCTAAGATGGCCCAGCGGATGTCTTTTGGCTTCTACAAGTACAACAACATGGAGTTTGTGCGAATGAAGGGGCCACAGGGGAAAGGGCACGCCGAGATGGCGGTCAGCCGCGTTTCCACGGGTGACACATCCCCATATGGCACTGAGGAAGACTCCAGCCCAGCCTCACCCATGCATGAGAGAGTAAGGGTGCTGGGGGCACAGGTCAGGGAGTGCTTCCTGGAGGGGGTGGCCTTTAGGCTGGGCCTTGAAGGATGGGGACAGGGAAAGGTGATGGGCACGGTCGGCATCCAGGCTCTCTCTGGGTCGGGGTGGGGGGAGGGTCTGTCCTCTAGTGAATGTGAGCCTGGCCCCTGGGTGAGGGGCACTCAGGCTCTGGCCTGTCACTCACAGACATCCATCTAGTAAAGTATTTCATGTGGTCTGGGCTGTCTTTGTCCTCCATGATGGCCAGTGGGGCAGCAGCAGAGAGGTGAGGTTTTCTGTTGGGTTTGTGGTCCAGACTGCAAAGGCTTTGAGCTAGAGAACTCTGGGTGAGGAAGATCCCTCCACCAAGGCAGCTCCGCTTCTGTTTGGGACCTGAAGCAGTGACTCGTCCAGGGTCACACAGCCGGGAGGTGTCAGAGGGGGGACGCCAGCCTTGTGAGTGTTACACCGCGCTGCCTCTCAGTGTAGCCGTTTCTGTTAGACGTGCCAGTGTGTGCATGGGTGTGTGCACGCGCACAGGAAGAATGTGTGTGCAGCATATTTCTATACAACTATCCTCACCAGTCACACCCACGGGGGGCAGCCTGGGGGACTGCGGACCCTGGGGTTGGGTCTTGGCTCTGGCACCAGTGGCAGAGGCCAGACGCTCTCGAGCCCGCTCTTGACCCTGGAATCACAGAATGTCAGCTCCATTAAGAAGTTCTGAGGACATCTGGCCTGGCTGTCCCGTTTGACAGATGAGAAAACTGAGCCTCGGGGGAGGTTGGGGAGAGGATTAGGGAAGACTTTCACAGGGTCCTCCGGCTCATGGGTGGCAGAGCAGAGGCTCTGAGCGGTGCACGGTTCCTTCCTGACCTCCTGCGGCCAGGGGTGCACCTGGGAAGCCCCCCAAGGACAGGGGGTGTGATGCTGGCTGCTGTTTCCCCAGGTGACGTCCTTCAGCACTCCGCCAACGCCAGAGCGCAACAATCGGCCGTCCTTCTTCTCCCCTTCCCTCAAGCGCAAAGTGCCCCGGAATCGGATCGCGGAGATGAAGAAGTCCCACTCGGCCAACGACAGTGAGGAGTTCTTCCGGGATGACGACAGTGAGGGTAAGGCCCGGGAACCTATTGGCTGTGAAGGATGTGGGCGGAGGACTCTGGGCTCCCCGGCCTCTATGCCTGGCTCTATGCATTGTAGGCTGGTAGTCAGTGGCCCAGCTGGGAGCCCTGTGCCTTCTAGAGACCTTGGCTTCCTCACCTGTAAAACGAAGGTGTAGCAAGGAAGAGGGAGGGAGTGCTGCCTCTGGGGAGGAGTTCAGATCCTGCTTCTCATGCTTGCTACTTGTGGGTTTTTGGGCGAATCACTTAGCGGCCCCCGGGGTCTTGTTTGCTTATGGGAAATGAATTAAACTACCTTCCCAGCGCTGACATCCCCTGTCCTGAGGCCCCTCCCAGCCCCGACAGCCCCTGTGCTCAGCCCCCTCCCAGCCCTGACAGCCCACACTCTCTCTTCCTTTAGCAGATCTTCACAACGCCACCAATTTACGGTCGAGGTCTCTCTCTGGGACAGGGCGGTCGCTTGTTGGGTCATGGCTCAAACTAAACCGGGCCGATGGAAATTTTCTCCTCTATGCACACTTAACCTACGTCACGTTGCCCCTGCATCGGATTTTAACAGGTAGCCTCCTGGCTTTCCCTCTCTCCCTGCTGGGCTTCCAGGGCTCTGCATCAGCCCCTGAGAGGGGAACAGTCTGGCTGAAATGTGGGGTGTGGGTGTCTTGCCCACTCTATTTTTTTTGTGTGTGTGAGGCAATCAGGGTTAAGTGACACAGCTAGTTAGTGTCAAGTGTCTAAGGCTGGATTTGAACTTGGGTTGTACTGACTCCAAGGCCAGAGTGCTACGCACTGTGCCACCTAGCTGCCCCCTCTGGTCCACTCTTAAACCATGAGCTGGCATAGACCAGGGCCATGTTTTGTCTAGACCTTGCTTCTCCCCCAGCATGTGCTCTGCACACAGTTGGTGCTTAATAAGTAAGTCACATTGAGAGGGAATAGAGGGAAGGTTCTGCGGTTCTAGGCCTCCGTCTACCTGTGGCTTGCTGGCACACCCCCCCCTTCCCCGTTCAACCTGTTTTCTCCTCTGTGTAGTGGGGATAAATCTGTTTATCTGGGGCAGGACCTGGGGCTGGGTGCTTAGCCACCCTGGCTGTGAATCAGAATCTGGACAAAATCTGCACTCAAGCACTGGATGTACCCACATGCGCACGCGCATGCCAGGCTGATCCAAAGTGAGATGAGCACGGCAGAGTTTGCAGTGAATGGAGGAGCATTTATTATTCATTTACTGTGTACGAAGCACTGTGCGAAGAGGGTGCCTGTCCTCATAAAGCTTACACTCTTCCATGGGGAGACAAGCCCAGCAGTGAAACAGTGGCCAGGGGAGAGGCAATGAGGGGGCTGGACTGTGTGAGGCCCACGGGATCCACAGCCACAGAGAGGGCCTCGAGTCACACAGCCAGGACTTGTCTGAGTTGCCCTTGAAAGGAGGCCTCTTATACTTAGGAGAAGAGGCAGGGCCCAGGGGCCACTGCGGCTCTCCTTGGCTCAGAGGGAGTGTCTTGGGGACCCTGACCGACATCCCTGCAGATGGGACCCTGGACTGGCCCAGCCAGCCTTGAATTTTCTTGTGTTGCGCACAGTGGGGACCCACTGGAGGCTTTGGAGGGGAATTAAAGGAACTGAGCAATGATTCAGATAGAGGTGGGATCGGGGAGGGGAGAATAGAGGCAGACACGGGCTACGGCATTGTGCTTGGTAAAGGCGAGGTGCTGAGTACAGGGACAAGGGGGGACATAAAGCTTTGCGGTCCGTTAGCGTGGAGCTGGTTAGCCCCTAAAGTCAAGCTCCAAGAGAAAGGAGGGTTGGTCAGTTCTCGGCGAGGGGTGGGGGTGGCCGGCGAGTGCCAGGAATGTGGGCATGTAATTGGAGTCGAGAGAAAAATTGCCAAGACTTTGAGTTCTTCCCTTGAGAGGACAGGATTTTATGGGGGCCATTCCACTCACTCCATTGTTCTCCCTCTTCTCTCTTCCCCTGTGGCTTCCTTTCTCTCTCTCTCCTCTTTTTCTCCTCTTTCTTCCCCTTCCATCGCTTCATAATTTTGTTCTTCTTTGGGTTTCTCTTCTCCTCCTTCCCCTTTCTCCATTCTTTCTTTTCTTCTCACACTCACATCTCTTGCTTCTCCCCTGGTCTCTTCCTTTCTTCCTCCTCCTTCCTTTTCTCCCTTTTGCTTCTCTTCTATTTCCTTTTTCTAATCACCCCCCTCTTCTCCCTTTCCTGCTCATCTTTCTTTTCCTCCTTTCTCTTATCTCACCTGTTTCTTCCTATTTTTCCATTCACTTCTTTTCTCATTTCCCTTTTCCTCTTCCTTCCTCTCCTTCATTCCACTTCATTTCCCCTCTTCCTATTTTCATTACTTCCTGCTCCTTTACTTTATCTTTCCTTATTTACTTCCTTTCTTTTATAACTTCTCTCTTTCTCTCTCCCATTCCCTCTTCCTCTCCTTTCTTTCCCCTTCTGTCTTCCTCTTTTTCCTCTCCCCTTTTCTCTCTTCCTCTTTCCCCTTCTCTGTCCCTCTCTTTCTTCTCTCCCCTTCTCTCTTGCTCTCTCCCTTTCTCTTCCTCTCCTTCCTCTCTCCCCCTCTCTCTTCTCTCCCCTTTTCCTTCCCTTCCTCCCTCCTCCCTCCTCCCTGCTTCACCCCTGCAGACATCCTAGAGGTTCGGCAGAAACCCATCCTGATGACGTAGCGGTGAGCCCCGGAGAGCCAGCATCGCCCCGGGTGCTGCCACCAAGTGCAAGTGCCTGTCTGCCGTGGTTCTTTGTGACACCCGCCGCTGCTGCCACCGCCACCGCCCGGAGTCCAGAGCCCAGCATCTGCTCCCCCCACCCCTGCCCCCGGCCAGGTTTGCCCAAGGGAAGCCTGTCCAAGAACACCAGCCGCCCTGACTGAAGTGCCTCTTCCTCCTCCCACGCCACCTGGCCCCCACGTGCACGTGCCGCAGATGCCCTGATGAGGACGTGGGTCTAGAAGAGGCCAGGAGAGCGAACCAAGACGCACTATCCTCATTCTTTCACATGGTTGTTAACAGTCAATTTTCCAACAGAAGAGAACAAGCCAAGTGTCCACAGCCTTGTTGGGGACCGTCTGAACCGCCCCCCGAGGGGAGGGTCTCCCAGTGATGTCCCATGACTGCCCCTCTTCTGTGGCTAGGGGCAGGGGCTGAGGGAGGAGTGGACCCAGGACTCTTCTGCAGCCCCTGGCCTTACTCAGGCTGGGGTCTGGCCAGGCTGAGGGCAGTCCCTTTAAGTGCCCTGTGGGAAGGGGGTCTCCCGGACTGGCAGCCCCCTTCTGCTTCCAGCCAAAGAATACCCACCACCCACTGGAGAGGCGGAGTGTGAGGCTGGATGCCTGGTGGGGCTCTCCAGCCCGTGGCCGGCAGGGACCCCTGATGGCGGCCGGTCAGATGTGGCGATGTCATCTGGAATCTTGGGGGCCGGGGCTAGGGGAGTCCTCTTTTTCCTCTGACTGTTGGTCCCATTTTTCAGTCCGATGCACTGAGGCATGACGGGAGTTGCTGAAGATGGCGGGGGGTTGGGGGAGGACAGCCCAATGGAGGAAGGAACCTTTGGATGGAAGTGTGAATTTTTTGATTTCCATTTTTTCCTCTCCCTTGGTGGACTAGTGGCTCCACAGTGTGAGGCTTGAATTTCATCCATGACCCAGCACGAGGGGGATTCCCATTGTCCCACTGACAAGGGGGCCTGTTCTGTTGTCCTGGGGAGGACAGACGCTCTCCAGGTCCATCTGGAATAAACCTCCTACCGGTGACCTAGTCCATTGTGGCCGGTTTGGGAGCCAGCCTGGGGCAGGGAGGGCTCTTGGTGACATGTGGTCAGTGGTTCCAGGAGGAAACATTTCCCAAGCTTGGCCTTAGTGCAGGGGTGAGAACACCACAGGCAAGTGATTTCCTTTCTCGGTGCCTCAGTTTACCCATCTGTAAAATGGGGCCAATCACCTACCTCACAGGGTGTCAAGAGAGTGAAAAGGACAACAGACAGGTCCCTCACAGGGACAGTGTTCACACTATTGGGGGAGGGGGTCACAGGGACATCTGTCCTGCCCCAGGTAATGCCATCCAAAGCTGGAAGTCCCACCATCGTTTTGAGCCAAGTGCCAAAAGGTAGTGTGTTTCTTCTCCCTCTGGGGGCTTCCCAGGAGTGGGAGCTCCCACTGCCTCTCCAGAGAAACAAGTCTAGGTGTCTCCGATGCTGGCATGGGAAGGGTGCAGCCAGCCCCTGGGAAGGGCTTGGCTCTGTACCTGTGGAGGAAGTACACCTGCCTGATCCCCTGTGCTCATGTGCATGACAGACAGACAGACAGACAGACACCCACCCACCAGCATTTTAGAGCAGTGCTAACATTAGCAGGAAGAAAATTGGATTGGGACCTGGGTTCGACTCTCAGCTCTAGCACTCATTCCCTCACCTTTAAAATGAGAGGCTTAGCCTAGACAGCCCAGCTCTAGGCTGGCATGGGTCGCCCTCTCCTCAGCACCTGCAGCCTTAATCCTTGCAGAAGACACTGACCTTGGACTAAGGCTCGCGCAGGAACCTCGGGGCCCTAAGCCCACAGACTCCCCGGGAGATGGCCGGCTGCTTGCTGCTCGTTAGCGCTATCTGGGGCACACGCACAGTTTTCCCTTTAGATCAGGAGCTCCTACCCAGGGTCCACGGACCCTGTATTTTTTGAGGAGGTATCTGTGAACTTGGGGAAAAATGCCATCTCTTATCATCGCTAACCTGAGTTATAGCATTTCCTTCTGAGGAGCCGGGCCACAGGCTTCAGCCTGACCATCACAGGGACCAAGAGGCTGTGTCTTAGAGGAAAGCAGCATGTGTATGAGGGGGCGGCCTGGAGAGACTCGAACAGCCGCCCTGACAACCTGGACTGGGGCTGACTGCCGGATTCAGAATGGAAGGAACCTTCAAGACCATCATTTTACAGCTGAGGAAACTGAGGCCCAGAGAGCGGAAGGGCCGGCACCTTGTGCCACTCCACGTCTTTTCTCTCCCCTGTGTCTAAGTGGGGCCCAGTGGCTCCTGCTTCCCCCTTTCCCCAAGATCATGATGCCAAAGCTGGGTTAGCCTTGCCTCGAGGACAGATGGTGGGCAGTAGGGATAGCTAAGGACAGAAAGAAGGAGGGACCCAAGATCTGCAGCCAGCATCCCTCCAGCTTCCTGCCCAGCAGAATGATGGCTGTGACTGGGGGCCTTCAAGAAGGTGTGATGACAGCCTGCCCTGCCCCCTGGCCTGGGCTGCACAGACAGCCTGGGGCAGTGAGAAAGGAGAAGGTTGGCCTGCGCAGAACCCTTGTTTTTAGACAACGAACGCTTGCAGTGTGCCTGTCATTGTCATGCCAGCTTCTGGGAAGGGCTTCTCCACCGCACGTTCTGGGAGTAATCTTCCCTTTACGTTTGCCACGCTCTGATGTTTTCTCCTATATTTGCCAAACGACCTAGAACCTAGAACTGAGGGCCCCTCTTTCCTTCGGAAGAGTCATCCTCCCGGCTTTGCCTTCACACCCTGCAGCCTGGACCCTCTCTATGGACCCTCTGTTAATGGAGGATATGTGGGCAGGTGCATGGGCTTCCCAGATGAGGTCTCCCAGGGCAGAGGCCTCCTCCTCCAAAACATGCGCTGCCGGGCAGTTTACAGTTTCCTGTGCCCCTGAGGCAGGAGGGATTTTTATTTCCTGTCCCCAGACCCCAGTCCCCCAGGAGCTTGGGAAGCAGCCAGGCGCCCACTCCCCAGGGTGCTCTCTTTTGGCAGGGGGGGCGGGGGATGGGAAGGTGTTAATACTCTGTGTGTGCTTCCTGATTCCAGGTCCAGTAGTCACACCTGTAAACACCTGTTCAAAGGAGTTTCCTCCCACCATTTCAAGGCTTCCCGGCTCTTTGGAAAAACATGTTTTGGCGTCGACATTGTTAATTACACTGAAGGTGACACAGGTGTGCCAGTGTCTGTGTTTTTTCTTTTTTAACATTCTTGGCACACAGGGCGCACCCCCCATCACCTCCTTCCATGACTACACTTGATGAAAGGTTGTCATTGTGAAATAAGGCCAAAGCTCTGCCTCGGGGCTCCTCCCCCAGAGGCACCAGCCTGCGGACACCTAATGAGGGCCGGGGTATTTGTGTCAGCCCGTGGTCCTGTGGAAAGGACTCCAGTGACAAGCAGGTGGCAGTCCCTTCCTAGGTCTGGGCTTGGGAGCCAGCTGCAGTGTGGGGCTGGAGTGAAGGTCCCCCCACCAGCAGCTGATTTGCCAGTGCGGCTTATCTGGGGCCAGAGCACCACATTGCTTCTGACTTTACTCTTGGTGTAGTTTTCAAACTAAATGTTCCTGCCCTAGCTGCTTTGCCATTAAATGACACGTTTTCTCATCCAGCAGTGTGAGGCCTAATGGGTAAATTGGCATTTTCCCAATTTGTGTGTCCTGGACGCCACCATCACGTTTTTAACTTCATAAAAAGCTTGGGATTACAAGGGAAAACCCAGCATACTTAAAGGTAGCTAGCTCATGGCTCCTGCCTTAGGAATGGGTGGCAGACACCTAGAAATCCTACTCCCTCCCAAGGAAAGCTATGGCTGCTGGATCCCTTGAGTTTAGGGGTTCTGGGGTCAGGGTTGGAATCTGCCTGAGGACATGACATCGGTATGGTGAACCCCTGAAAGGAGTCGCCATCTGAGGAGGCTGAATGGGCCTCAAGCCATGGAGACACGGCATCAGGAGCATGTGGGGCCACTGTCCTGCCAGCCAGGAAAGAAGTTGTCAGCAGCCATCATCTAGAGCTCTGCCTAGCCTGGCAGAGGTCACCAGGGAGAAGGACTTTCAGGTGGGGTGGGGGAAGGGACCCTGGCCTTGGTCACCACTGGCTCCAGGCCCTGGGCCCAGGCAAGCTGGTCACCTGGCAAAGAGCCACAGCTGTTGGGCAGGGGGCTCCCAGCCCTTTCCTGTTACTGTGAGCGAGAGAGGGTCTAAACAGGGCAGTGGAGGTGTCCAGGGGCTGAAGCCCACTAGTGGTGGGTGGCCTTCTGAACTGTCGGGAATGACTGCTGCCTTGCTAAGGTCTGAACACTGAGGTGCCAGCTCGAGGTGGACACCCAGGGAGCACAAAGGAACCTTCTCCGGGGGCGGCCATCATCCCGTCTGCCCATACAAGCCTTGCCTGGCTGAGGAAGGCGGGATGGAAGGCCTGATTTTCCCTCACTCAACGCCATGGTGTTTTCAGCCCATCCCAAGGATGATCTAAACATTTCTAGTCCCAGGGCTTTATGCCTGCGTCTCCCCCAGATCGGTCAGGAGGTGGAGGGGCCAACCCAGGACGGACAGAGCTAAAGCTGCCTGCCTCAGCTCGCCAGCTTTGCATGGATAAAGGCAGCTTGGCTACTGCACTGACCGTGCCTCGGCACCTCTCTGGTGCTACTTTCCTTTCTCGGTCGGTCATCATGGAAGCCGTCACGCCACGACGCTGAGGACAGAAGTAGCAACAGCAGAGGTGCCAAACGGCTTGGTTTTGTTCACTTCCGTTTATTCACATTTTGTGGATTTGTTACATGTCCCAGTGGGACCTGACAGTGGACAGGCCGAGGGTTTTGGTCTTAGAAAAGGATTTACCATTTGTTGTGTTTGGTGGATAGCGGGCCTGAGGCATCGAATGCAGACTGGCATCCCAAGGGATTGGCCACCCGCCTGCCTCATCAGCTCAAGGCGTGCACTCCACCCCGCCCCCCCCCAAGGTGGCCTGTCCACTCAGCTCCCCTGCAGTCCTTCACCTCCAGGGGCTTGGTGGGGGATGCAGAGCCCCTCCATGCCGCTCCCCGAGGGGTAGATTTTTGGCATGCAGCCTAGACAACAGAAGGCAGGCCCTGAGTAACACCAAGTAAAATGCTCACAAATCAGACTGAGGACACATGTACACGTCGGCTTGTCGCTCCTCGATGCCAAAAATGACTAACGTCTGGAGATTAAAACGCCTTCTGTGCAAGGGAATGCGCCTGGGGGAGGGTTCAGCTCCCCACAGGCAGACACTGGGCGGGGAGGGCTGGACATTCAGTGGCTAACTTTCAAACTCAAAATCTACGCAAAATGTAGTTCTTATCCATTGGTTTGAAAGGTCTCTAGTTTGCTCTGGGCAAGGAACTAGCCCCGTGGTTCAACACAGCTGAAGTCAATCATCCACCGGGGGTCCAGAAACCTGACCCCAGGCTGACCAGCATGCCCGCTGCCCCATGTCCCAGCCACGGGCATGTCACCCACCAGGCACTTCCCTATTATTTTCTCACAGAAACAGCGATGGCTGAACCACCAGCAAAGTGAGTTCTCACCACACACACTTTTAACTCTAAAAAAAAAAAAAGACACCCCCCCCCACACACACCCTTCTGAGCACCTGGGCAGAGGTCACGGAAGAAGCAGGTGGGGTCCTCCCTGGGAACCACACCCACCCACGGCACTTTCCTGGGCCTAGATGCTGGCACCCCACACCATGGCAAACAATGCAGGGCCAGGAACATGCCGAGATCATCCCTACACGAGCCTGACCCTCCCCCTTCAGCATTCAGAAGAGGCCCCTGGACCAGCCCGTCAGCTGGTGTCACTTATGTGAGCCACAGGATAACGCTGTTTTAACCACAGGAGTCCCTGGCACTAACCCCGAGCTCATCTTTTAAAAACCCACCACCAGGTCCCCAGGGATCTGGATGTGAGTGACGCCAGGGCCCGCAGGGCAGCCCCACGAGAGCAAAGCAAACTGGTCCCCACAGAACAGCCGCGTGTCCGCTTCCTCTTCCTGTCAACCTTGGGCTCCTCACTTCTGAACTGTGCCCATCTCCAGGGCAGCACAGTCGGGGCTCGGCATTCTCTCTGGAACAAGAGCCCCCCATGCCAAAAAGGCGATTCCTGAGCCTGGCATCCAGGAGGGCGTCATCCTGTCTCTCCCTGCGCGGGGGTGCTCTTTCCACACACTCTCCTGACGCCGTCCCGCATTCAGTTAAAGCTTTTTATTGGCCATAGTAATTTTCCCCACAAAACCTTTCAGAAAACCTCCAAGTTCTCAGAATGTCAAAGTAGAAAGTTAAGAATAAAAGGAATAAGTTTAAGGGAAAAAAGCAACTTGGCAAAGGTGTGCCTCTGCCACTTTCACGCCTCCTTTTTCTCCAGTAAGATTTTGTGCAGCTCATCAGCGTCCTCGGTGGTCTTGACGCGGATGAGCATTGTCACGGGGATGGTGGCATTCTTCTCGCTGATGGGTGGGTTGGGGATGCAGACGATGAGCACGTTGTTCTTGCCAGTGCGGGAGCAGGGCATGTTGGGCGGAACCAGGACGTTCAGGAGGATGTTACCTGCGCAGGAACGGAGAAAGGGAGATGCCCTGTGAGGCGCCTGCCCACGTACAGGGACCGCAGCGCTCCTGCCCCCTTCTCTGTGGCCCCGGCTCCTCACTCCCCACCAGCGGCCTGGGGACGGCGAGGGTCTCCACCTTCTTGCCCTCCTGTCCAGAAGCCGAGGCCCAGAGTGTGGCAGGCGATCCCCTCTCCCGAGTCAGTCCTAAGGCCTGCCTGCTATCCACAACCAAGGAGGAACCCTGGACCCCAAGATCCACATAACAAACTTGTTTTGTTTGAGGGCAAAAATCGGTTCTGACTTTGAAATGAACTTTTGAAACTCAATCTATTCCTCAGCTGGGTCAAGAATTAATGAAGCAAATAAGATGTGGGCCTTTGCCTCTTCCCCTAGGAGACCACCCACTTAGCCTGGTCGGCAAGTGCAGAGGGCTGGAAGGAAAACTAGCCCGCTAACCAGGCACTGACTTGGAGGTGACAGGCAAGGACAGAGGGCCTCTGGGGCGAGGTGAGGGAACAAGGGAGTTGTCTTGGTGCAAGGGGTAGTCAGCAGATACGTTTCCCACTTAGGGCCAGCAGCCTGGCAGACAGTGTCCTAGAAGGGCCCCGAGAGCCAGCTACCTATGATGGGATGTCAAGAAGCATGATGGTGGCTTTGAGGCCTGCCTCCATCACCTCCGCCCCCTCCCCCCTCATCTGAAGGCCTGGGCTTACTTAACAAAAGCCTTTCCCATTCTATCCAACTGATATGCTGGGGGACCGCGTGGGCCGACCAAAGGATGACAGTGCAACTCAGCAGTGCAGGCCGTTGGCCACCATCACCCTCCTCACATACAGTCAGGCCCTAGGAAGATGTGCCCAGTCACTCACCTAAATTGGTGTCGGCTCGAACCAGAAGCTGGGTCTTCTGATTAGCGGCGGGTTTCAAGTGCAGCGTGCCCACACCCTTCTCTTTGAACTCATTATCTTTTTTGTAAAAGAGTTTGCACCTGGGGAGAGTCAATAAAAAGGGTGCTCTATTAGCATCCTGAAGGGCCCTCCAGGCCTAAGTGGAGGGTGGTCCCTGGGAGCTGAAAGGCAGAAAAAAGGGGAGCCTCAAGGATGACAGGATGAAGCGTGTGAGGCCAGCATGGTGACCTTCTTTCTCCTGGGCTGGCTCAGCAGCCCCCAGCCCCACGCTGGCCCTGGGTCTCACTCCCACTCTCATCTGCCCACTCTAGGGCACCTACACTGCTTACACTAACCCTGTAGGTACACCTCCGGGCAGCCACAGTGGACTTGGATGCCCACACACTCAGCCTTTTTGCCCGTCTCTTACATCACTTGGTGTTGCCAAGCAACCTCAGGAGCCCCTAGACCTCTTGTGACTTGGGACGACGGCCTTCGAGGGGCCACCAAGAAGCCTCCTGCCAATTCCGTCTCCAGTTCTGCGCCCGGCCCTGGTCTGGTTCTAATGCCAGAGACATCACTGGCATTGAGGCTCCAGGACACCAAGGGCCCATGGGCGAGGCCATGGCGGCTTTCGTGTCAGAAGCTGGCAGTGTCACCATGGTTTTCCACTCAGCCCAGGCCCCGCTTCTGCTGTCTTGGACTGGCGAGCTTCACAAGCCCCTCGCAATGGCCCAGCCTGGTGAGTCAGCAGCCTGGCCCTTCACCTCAAGGGCCACCTTTATGCTCGCATGACTCTGGGGATGTGTGTAGGTACCAACAGAAGTGATGCCAAGAATGGCTAAGTCTTGGGCAAAGAACTGAGGACGTGGTAGCAAAGGTGCGCATCTTGACAGCAGGGTAGACTGGGCGAGGAGCGCACTGACCAGGCCCGCAGCTTCGCACATACTCCAACGGGCTCAGATTCTGCCTCAGAGAGAGCCGCAATAGGAGAGAAGGGCAGCAGAGATGCATTACGGGAGAGAGAAAATTCAGCAGAGGCCAGGGATGAGGCCTGCGACTCTTGGCTCTCGGCTGCAGCTCAAGTGGGAAAACTGACCTCTTTGGTGGGATGAGGGCCATGGCTGGAACAGGACATAAAGCAAGGAAAAATTCACAGGAGAGCATGTTTGAGAGGAGGTCAGTGGAGACAAGAAACAGGAAAGGAGACTAGAGACCACCTGGACAGAAAGGAAGGAACGAGGATTTCTGGCAAAACACCAAGTCTGTCCTGAGGTATGCTGTGCGGGAGAGATGGGGCTTCCCTTGCACTCACACCCCTCAGGTGGCTGCTTGGAGGCCCGCTAAAGGGCACATCTGTGAGAGCAGGGGATGGAAGGGGCAGGATGCCAATGATGCCGCCCAAGCACAAATGGTGAGCTCTGGCAAGGACTGGGCTGTGGGGTCAGGACGCTGAGGGACAAGGTGTGGTGGAGGCACCCTGGGCCTGGAGGGGCACGGAGGTCTTGGGGCAAAGGTCACAACATGGTGCACTGAGCTGGCCAGGACAGGGGAGCTCCAAGGAACCCGGCGGGGTGGACAGGAGAGGACAGCAGACAGGCCGGGCCTCCAGCAAAGGAAGGAGAGGCCCATTGTGTCTGCCGGTGAGCAAGACTGAGCAAAGAGCCCCAAAGACCAGCCCGGGCCAGGGGCAGGAGAGCCTTGGGGAAGGCGATGCTGCTGCTGGGCAGCCGAAAGGACGACCCAGACACTCGTGGGTTCTTGCAGACTGCCTTTTCTTTCCTGAGCCCTCGTGTACATGACGCCTCTGCATGGGACCCAGTTCTGTCTGTGAATATTCTAGCCTCCTTTGGGCCACTTGCTGCCAGGGCTCAGAGACCAATGAACATGCCTGGGCCTGAAACGAGGGAGCGGATCCCTAGAGGTCTAAAGCTCTAGCTAGAGGATTCTGCAAGGGGAAGGGGGGCCAAGCAGGCCGAGGAGGAGTGTGCATTCGCACTCAAGTCTTTGGCTCCAGATCTGGCACTACGCTATCCACAAAGACGCAGCCAAACAGTTTCAGCCCTTGCAGCAAGGGCGGCAGTGGGGAATATCTCGGCTGGGCCCAGCTGCCGGCCCCCTTCCCAGTGGCCCCGCTGGGCCACAGCTTTTCCCCTCCCCCCATGCTGCTGGGGCATGGAAGGATTCACCATTTGCTGAACTCAACACAAGGACATGGTCATTTCCAGAAGAGAAAACCCACCCAGCAGAGGCCACACTTACTTCTTGGAATAGAAGGCATCCTCTTCTTTGACCTCGGTGACGATGGCCTTGGGCGGCTCCTCGCTCTCATCCTCTTCAGCACCTTGGACAGACCCACAGTCAGGCCCAGGGTACGGCCCCCTTCCTCACTCTGCTACATGCCTCTAACCTCTAACTCATCACAGGGGGGGGGGGGGAGGACGGGACTCCAAGGGGACATGTGGCCATTTAACGGCTTCCCGACAGCCCTGTCTCATGCCTCCCCCCACCTACCACCATCATGTGACCCTGAGATCCCCCTAGCATGGTGGGGTGCCCGTCACCAACTCATCACCTTTGCTCTCAGCAGCAGATGCATCCGGCTGGCTCTCTGGCATCTTGGAGAAGGAAGAGCCAGAACTTGCCTGGGCCACATCTTTGCCAAATATGCCCGCACTTCCAGGAGAGAAGGAGAAGTTTGCCGTGGGGCCAGTGCCCAAGGGGCCCAGAAACGAGCTGTTGACTTTCTGGCCAAAGTGGAAGGAGGCGACGGAGGCCACTCCCACGGCCGGGGCCACCTTTTTCTCCGCAGGCGCTTCTGCCCGTGCATTGGCTTTGTCTGCGTCAAACACGAAGGGGGCGTCTCGGGGCTGCTGTCGGCCGGCCTCCCTCTCCACACCACTGTCGCTGCTGCCGCCGCTGCCAGCCAGCTGCTCGATGCTCAGGAGGTACCTCTCGTAGTCCTTGAAGATGGGCGTCAGGTCGCAGAGCGGGTTGCTGTCCACGTGCTTTGCGATCCAGTCACGCACGGAGCAGTTTAAGGCAGCGAGCTGTCTGTGGTAGGCACTGGGGCTGTGGCCGGAGGAGGAAGGCTGCTGGCTGTCTCCGTTAGTCTTGGTGCTGGCAGCTTTCTTGTCCGTGCCCGCGGGACGCATTGGGCCGTTGGCTGTGACGCGGCCTGTCCAGCAAGGAGACCTCTTTGGAACGGGGGATGCTCGTGCCGGCCAGCAGCCACCTCCCCGCGCCCCCTGCCCGCCCTCCAGCTCACAAACAGGCCCCACACCACAATCCTCCAAGGCTGCACCCCATTCACATTCCTGTCCCATCAACCCCCCGAGCATCTGGGGGAGCCTCTAAATGTCGGAGCTGCTTCGGACAAAAGGGGCACGAGACCAAGCAGTCACCAAGTATGCTTCCCCGGCCCTGAAGGACTCGAGGACCCCTCCCCCATGCTCTGCTGCCCTCACCATGCGTCCGTCTGCCTGGAAGTGACCAGGCATCAGGCACAGATGTGGCTCCGGCTCAGGCAGAGCCTCGCTCCCATGGGGAAGCCCCCTTCACACACACCGGGCAAACTCACCAAAGGTCACCTTCTTCTCTGCTGCAGCCTTGGTGGGCGTAGAGGTGGGCACAGAGGACATGCTACCGCCGTTGGACAGGCCTTCCAGAGGCCTGATGCTGGTGCCATTGCCAAAGAGCCCCCCTCCTCCAGGAGGCACAACAAAGCCCTTGAAGCCTTTAAAAGCCCCTCCGCTTTCAGACTGCAAAGCAAAGCAGGAGAGCGCCAAGTCAGACGGGGGGCACGCATGGTGCAGGCGCCCCAGGACAGGAGACAACAGATGAGGGCCAGTTCCCCATGAGCTTCCCGGGACCTCTTCGCTCTGGCTTCTGTCAGGTACAGCCGCCTCCAGGAAGGCACCAGCCCTACCTTAGACTCTTATGTGTCTGTGCATCAGGACAAACTGGGGTCTCCTGAATGTAAGGCTAGGTATCCCTCCCCCAAATGGCTTCTGCCACCAAACTGAGGCAGGGCCGGCACAACGGGTGGAGCAGAGGACTGAGGCAGAAAGGTCCGAGTTTGAATCCTGCCCATGACACTAAGGCTGGCTCAGGCACCTCTGTGAACCTTGCTGCTCCTGGCAGCGCCCCCATCTCATGGGGCAGAAACTAGATAACGTGTCGAGCGTGCCTTGGACACATCAGACCTCTGGCCAACGTTAACCGGCTCTCCGGAGGGCTTGGCATAAGGCCGAGACGGGAACAGGGAAGGTCACTTGTCACGCTGCACTCGGCTCTCCAGGCAAAAACACAACCCAACTAGGTTCCCGAGCCTAGCTGCTCTCCCGTGTCCCGTGAGCTCTCTGATCATCAGCTGAACCTTGATCTCACCGTTCAGGAGTGGGGACGGCCCAGAGAGCTCCCCAAGGACTCTGGGAGCTGCAAGGCACCTCCCGGCCAAGGCGGTAGCAATGACCCCCACCCCCAAGGCCAGCCGGGCTGGGGGTGGTGGGCCCTGCCTCTATGCTCCTCACTAACGCGGGGATAAAAAAGGCCAGGACAAGGAGCATCCTCTACCAGGAGCTGGCTTCTGGCTCAAAGCTACCACGTAACTCCGGGGGTACAGGGTGGAGGTGGGGCGGTCAGCAAAGACTCACTGACTCACTTCCAAGGTGGCGCTGCGGCGCTTGGCCTTCTTGATGGCTCTGTTCTTCAGGACTTCCTTGCTCGCCACTGAGAACGTCCCCACCTGCAAGGGACAGGAGCGGACCAGTGTCAGCCTGCGGTTCTACAGCTCCTAGAACACTGCCGCCTCCGACACCCAGGCCCGAAGCAGCGCCGGCGCCGGCAGGGGAACGTGCCCAGTGGAAACAAAGGCAGAGACCCTGGCATCCCCCGGCCCCCACTCCTGCCGCACCTCCTCCACCTCGTCCTCTTGGTCCCAGTTCCGGTCCGTCAGCTCCTTCTCCGCGTTTCTTTTGGCCATTTTCTTGTACCTGAGTCAGAGCCCAAAGTCAGGAGCGAAGCCCAGACCGGGACCGCAACGGCCCTGCCTCAGTCTCCTTAACTGTCAGAGGGAGTCCCCCCGCGGCCCCTTCCCCAGGCTGGGGGGGGCCCTGGAATGTGTCAAGAACCCCGGGTCTGAAGAGCCCCCAGATTCACCCGGAACACTCCCACCCCATTGCCCTTCCCCCCTTCCCCCAGAGGTCCACTCAGACCCCGCCCTCTCTCGGTCACTCGGGAACCCTCTGACCCCATGTTCATCCCCCCTCCTTCCTCTCCTCCCCCTCCCCCGAGGTCCGCTCAGACCTTGCGCTCTCGGTCCTCTTGCTCTCTCCCGGGTCTCTCGGCAGCAGGAGACACCGGACTGACCCAGGGCCTCTCGCCCCCTCCCCCCCAGGGCCCGCCATGGCGGCCTTCAAGGCGCGAGGGGAGCTGCGACCCGTCCATCTCGCCCTCGTGAGCCCGCGCCCCCCTCCGCCCCTGCGCCTTTGCCCCGGCCGGGCCCCCGCCTCCGCCTCGCCCTCGCCCTCACCCGCCGGGCGGCTCCTCGTCGCTCCCCGGGCCTGGCTGCGCAGCATCGCCCCGGGCGCCTCCGCCTCCGCCTCAGCCCGAGGAGGCCGCAACCCTAAGTGCCCGTGTCCGCATCGCGTGCGCGCCCCCGACACGGGGGGGAGGGGTGGTCACCAAGCGCGGGAGGGGGTAACGGGAGGAGGCGTGAGCGACCGGAGCGGACCCGGAAAGGTGCGCGTCCCACAGCCGCGGCGTCGGCTTTCCGGGCGCGCAGGCGCCGCGCCCCGCCGCACGACGCTGCGCAGGCGCGCCAACGGTCGCCAACGGCCGCCCCGCGCGCCACGAGGCCTCCTTCTCCACCAGAGCAGGCGCCGGAGGGGCCATTGGGCGGAAGGGCGGGAAGGCGTGCGCGCCGTGCGTGCGTGTGTTAGCGTGGACTCACGTGATCTCGCTGCCCGGAACTTCGGGGCGGAACCGGATGGCAGGGAGGAAGACGGAGCCGGCAGTCCCCTAGATATGTAGCCAATCACGGAGCATAGCCGAAAGTGGGGGCGGAGCCGGGCCCTGCTCGCCGCGGGGTTCCGGTCTCGCCCGCTTTGCTGTTAAGGGTCAGCCTAGAGGCGGAGAGCTAGGAGTGAAGGGAAAGCCGAGACCCTCCGACTTGGGCAGCTCCTGCCTTCGGGGCTTTTTTCCGCGCGTTCTCGGGCCCGTTTCATAGGCAGTAAACTGAGGCACCGAAGGGATTAAAAACGCCAAGGACGGGTAGTGACCGGCCGGCCGATTGTTTCCGATGATGATCCTGCCCGTGTTGTACAGTCTTTTAAGTCGTGCCCGACTCTTTTGTGATCCTGTTTGGGGTTTTCTTGGCAAAGATACCGGAGTGATTTGCCATTGCCGTCTCCAGGGACCCTGAATGAGGCAAACTGGGCAGAGGGCAGGGCGGAAGAAATGAGCCGGGAGGCTTCTCCCCCCACGCCCTGTGGACGGTCGCTCATGTAGAGCAGGGGCCCCCAGCACTCGCTCTGGTGCATTTCACTTCCTTACTCTCTTCAGTGCACTCTAATCTGTTGTGGGCTGCCCTGGCCCAGCTATGCGGAGGGACTCTGAGATGTCCCAGTCTGGCCACTTTTACAGCCTTCATCCAGTGCTGTGAGTCACAGGCAGGAGCAGAGCCTCTTACTACCTCTGATGGGATTCGCTCATTTAAGAAAAAAACATTATAGATAATAACGCTGTACTCTGATTGTTTTACTTCATTTACCATCAGTCCACATCCAAGGCCTAGTTCTCTGAGCTGAGTCCCTGCCCCAAGAAGATTTCAGGTAACATTTACAGAATCCTGAACAATAATGATGATAGCTATCATTTCTTTTTTTTGTTTTAATTTTATTTTTGGTTTTCAACATTCACTTCTGTAAGATTTTGAGCTCTAAATTTTCTCCCTCCTTCCCCTCTCCCCAAGACAGACAGCATGCAATTTGATATAGGGTATACATATACAATCATATTAAACATATTTCCACATTAGTCATGTTGGAAAGAGAATTAAAACCAAAGGGGAAAACCACAAGAAAGAAGAAACAAAACAAAAATTAAAAAAATAAAGGGGTGCAAATAGTATGCCTCAATCTGCATTCAGACTCTGGATGTGGATAGCATGTTCCATCAGGAGTCTTTGGGAATTGTGGAGAAGAGCCAAGTCATTCACAGCTGATCGATGTACAATGTTGCTGTTATTGTATACAATGTTCTCTGGTTCTGCTCACTTCACTCAGCATCGGACCAGACAAGTCTTCCCAGGTTTTTCTGAAGTCTGCCTGCTTATCATTTCTTATAGCACAACAGTATTCCATTACATTCATATACCACAACTTGTTCAGCCATTCCCCAGTGGATGGGCATCCCCTCAATTTCCAAGTCTTGGCCACCACAGAAAGAGCTGCTATAAATATTTTTGTACATGTGGGTCCTTTTCCCATTTATATGATCTCTCTGGGATAAAGCCCTAGCAGTGGTATTGGGATAGCTAACATTTCTGTAGTGCTTATTAGGTGCCATATACTGGGCTCAGAGCATTACAAATACCTCATTTGATCCTTACAACAACTGTTCGCGATAGGTGCAGTTATCCCCATTTTGCAGATGAGGAAACAGGCCAGCAGACTCGTCTAAGGTCATGCAGTTAGTAATCCTCTGAGGTGGAATTTGAACTCAGGTCTTCTCCTAGGCCCACTCCTCCAGGAATTACTGAAATTCTTCCTCCCACAGAATCCAAAATGAACATTGGGCAGGATTTTGAGGGTGCCTTCTGCTGGGTGGACTGGGTCTATTCCCTTCAGGGGCAGAAGCAGCACATGGACATTAGATGGCCACACTATCCAGGATGAATTGTTCTTCTGCACGTCAGACATCCTCTCAGTTCCATTTCTGCTTGTTTGTTCTTCTCCTACTCCCTTTGATCTATCCAGCTGATGAGAGGCCCTTTTTCCTTGGATCCTGAACTATCCCACTCACCTTTCCCTGGGGCTTTTCCAAGCTATTAGGAAAGGGCCTTAGAAAACATTATTTCTCTGTCTTTCTAGAGAAATTTGGGAGAATTTGAGGATGCTCCCTTGGGGAGCAGCCTCAGCTGTCACATTCATGATGTGATTGGGGAGGGGCCGGGGTCAAGGCATCTGCTGCCCAACCAGTAATTGGTGGTTTCCTTGGCCCCAGGCCTGTGACTGGTCAGGAAGATGGCACTGGCTCAGAGCCAACCTCCTGCTTTGGCTCTGCTGGGCCTCCCCGGGTGACCAGGGGCCTAGAGCTTCCTGGCCGGCATCTCCTGAACACAGCGGGGCATTGCTGGCTGCCTGGTCACTTCCCTCCCGGCCTCCTTGACTGGCTCTAGAGCTTTGATTCCTGCCCCTGTCAAGTGAAGGATGGTCTAGGAGGATGATGAGGAGAGGAGAGCCTGGGACAGAGCCCCCATTCCTCCCTTTAAAAGATATGTTTGCTGTCGCTGGAGAGAAAGAAGCATCCTGTGGGAGGAGCAGGAATAGTGAGGCATGGGAGAGGGAAAGGCTTGGAACTGTGAGGTGTGGGTGACCGTCGCAGGGCTCAGGCGCTGGAGGAACACAGAGCCTCCAGCAGGGCCAGCATGGGTCCTCAAGCCCTCAGCCCTCAGACAGCAGATGGCCCCCTCCCCAGCCAGTGCTATGGAGTCAAGGCCTGCACCAGAAGGTTTCCTAGGCTCAGGCTTCTGAATTTGGAGTTCACTGGGACGGACTTGGAATGGAAGCCTCTGGTGGCCCCTTCATCAATGCAGAGTCAGCAAGCATTAATTTATGGAGCACCTGCTGTGTGCCCTGGAGCTGGGGTGTGATCCTAGAAACCCCAAGGTCTGGGGCACCCTGAAGCATCTTCAAAGGAGAAACACAGAGCAAATCTGGCCTCCAGCCCAGAAGCTGAGAAACATGGCCACTTCCTGCTCAATCTACACTGAGCACAGGCATTCTAGAGCATCAAAGGGGAGTAAGCCTCCACACCTTTGAAACCAGGTGCTGCTCTGTCCATACCCTGGGCGACTTTCTGTGTGGGGAAGGGGGGCATGATCCCACAGGGGGCTCGGGAACCTCTCCGCAGGCTGTGTTCTTGTGGTTATGTGACCAAGCACTGGGCAGTGGGAGGCAGGGGAGCAGTGCCTCTGGACAGCTGGGTACCATGGGCATCGGGTCTGAGAACAACTCTAGATCTGGCGCCAGATACCCGGAGGTCCTGCTCCAAGGCCCAAGCCTTCATTGATTGGTACGCCCTTCAAATGAGAGGATTCTGGGTCAGGTCAGGAGGAGTGAGCTGAGATGGAATAGAGAACTAGACCCTGCAAAACCCTCCAGCTTCCCCACGCTGGATGGCATTTGCTGTGTCTCTCTCCTGGAGCTGCCTGGGGCCTTACCTCCTACCAGGACAGACCCCTGTGAATCTCCCCTTCTCCATCTTCCCCTTCCCATCTCCAACTCCCTTCCACACTAGCCACTCAAAGCCTGAGTGGTGGCCCCTCTGTCAGCCCACTGGCCTTACTATTTCCCCCACTCCCTGCTTGTTCTGGCCCTCTTCTGGTTAACGCCTGTCGCCCTTCTGCCTCTGGGCAGGCTGAGGCCTCGGAAGGCAGCCAGGGTGTGCTCTCTCTCTCCTGCCTCTGGCCTTGCTAGGCCTTCATTCCAAGGAATGAAGGATCCCTCCTTTTGTACCTGCTGAAAGTCCCTTCCCATGTCTGAAATCTTCCTTATCATTGCCATGATTTCTGCTCCAACAAACAGAGAAAGACCTGACCAGAGCCTTGCAGGAAGGCTTCCCCAGTCAGGGGGCTGCTGGGAAATATGTAATGACTGGTTCTCTGCCCAAAAAACGATCTCCCCACACTTTTCAGTTTAATCTGCATCATTAATAGTTCTCTCCATTGTGTTCTTGAGTCTATAGAATGAACAAAATGGTAAATCAAGCCCCAGTTGCGACATTCACTATTTGCTGATTTCTAAGGTTGTAAATGCTCCCACTGAACATTTAACAACCACCTCTTGGAGCCCCCTGGAGCTAGCTCCAGCACCTGATGCCCCTCCCGGGCCCAAAAAGGAACTGGTCCATTGGCTTTCTACCGATCTGGCTGCTTTACTAAGTACTGATGAGATCAATCAGTCAGTGTGTCAGCAGGTGTTCATTAAAGTAGCTCTGACATGCCAGATGCTGGTGATAGAAAGGCCCTGCCCGTTGCATACTTCCAGGACACACCAGAGTCTCTCACCTTAAAACAGCGGGGTTTGTCTTCTTGACAAGCAAGATGCCTTCAGAACCCTGGGACTGGGGGTTGAGCTGAGCCGAGCGCATTCCATCCCATAAGGGGGTGGGCCGGCAGGACTGAAGCCAGCAAGGAAGGCATCAGAGTGTGGAAGGAAGGGGCCTCAAAGGGGCAGCTAGCTGGTGCAGTGGATAGAGCATGGGCCCTGAAGTCAGGAGGACCTGAGTTCAAATCTGGCCTCAGACCAAACACTTGACACTTACTAGCTGTGTGACCCTGGACAAGTCACTTAACCCCAATTGCCTAAAAAAAAAAAAGGGAAAGGGGCCTCAGCAGTGTCGTGTCCACGCTGGACCCCCAAAGGAATGCTGTCACAGGCCTGACAACCTCCTCCTCTCAGAGACCTCCGGGGACGGACGAAGAGCTCCCCCACTGCCCCTGAGGCTCCATGTGCCTGCTTTGCCCAGTTCTGCTGGGCAACAAT